TAAGTAGATTAACATCAGGAAGAAAGACTGTACCCACTCAGCCTGGAGGTCTGGTGACCATGTATAGCATCTCTTCTGCAGCCCCTTGCTCAGTGCGTTTGCACAGTATTCACTGAACTCAATTATAGAATTAAGGATTTAATATCCTTAGGGATCAGTCTAATCAAAATCCAATTTCCTTTAGAGGAGAAAGATAAAATTTTATTAAATGGAGGATTGAAGGAATTTTTTTTTGCATAAAAATCATTATTCAGCAATTATTATGAGCCAGGCACTTTCGTATACAATATATTGTATTTTCATCCTCACTATGAGCTTGTGAGTGAAGGATTTATTGTCACTATTTTACAGATGCAGCAATTGAGATGCAAAGGAGTTAAGTGACTTGCCCAAAATATCAAGCTAGTAAGTGGCAGAGCCAGGAATGAGGTCTTCTGCATATAAGAGTGGTGCACTTTCCATAATACTACTTTATAACTAATGTGCCAAGTACTTTCTGATCTCCTTTGCCTTTGAATAAATAGAAGCCCTGATTGGGCTGGAGACACTGCCTTTATATTCAAAATAGCCCGGATATGAGATCCAAGACTCTGGACTTATGAGTTTCTCTTCTAATTTTATCCTCCTTTGTAGTTTTAGGCAAACTTTTAATCTCTTGGGCCTCAGTTTTCTCAAGTGCAAAATGAAGGAATTGTACCTGATGACTGCTATGGTATCTTCCAGACATGCAATTCTATTATTCTAATCATGAAATATGATGCCAGGTGATGTGTTAAATGATTTCAATATATTATCTCATTTAATCCTCATAACAACTCTGAAAATTAGGTATTTACACTGGATCCATTTTGCAGATGAGGAAACTAGGTCATGAAGTATACCTTGCTTAAGCTCATGCACACAGGTACCAAGTAGTTTAGTAGATTGAATTATGGGAATTCAATCCCATAATTAAGTAAATTTGATTTCATTTTGATAATTTTTAAAAGATGTTAACTATGACCATTCACAAAGATATACTATCATTCTCCCCACTGAAAGGAACCAAGACTCCTTGGAGAAATGGCTGATTCCAGGTCTGGAACAGGGAATATACAAAAAATAAAATGAGCCTGAAACATCTTGTCCTGCCAGAAAGCAAAAAAGCTATCAAAGACTCTTAGAGTTAGATGAGAAGGACACAAGAGACAAAATAAAGGGACTCCCACTGGCCAAAGATGGAATCATATGAACATCAAAAAAAATAATAATAATGACTGCAATTGTTTAAGACTCCTTGAATGTTTTTTTTAAATCCATGAATTCATAATGATACTCAAAAAGAGAAATATATATATATATATTAGTTATCAATTACTGCATTACAAATTATCCCAAAATTTAGAATCAAATATCAAATATTTATTACCTCACACAGTTTCTGCTGGTCAAGAATCTGAGAGCAACTTAGCTGTTGGTTCTGGTTCTATTATAAGGTTGCAGCCAAGATGTTGACCTGTGCTGCAGTCATCTGGAAGATCCACTTCTAAACTCACTCATATGGCTGTTGGCAGGAGGCTTCAGTTCCTCACCACATGGGCCTCTCCTTTACAACATGGCAGCTGGCTTCCCCCAGAGTGAATGATCTGAGAGAGAGGGAGAAAAAGAGAGACCAAGATAGAAGCCACAGTTTCTTTTATAACCTAGTATTAGAAGTTAAACATCACTTCTGCCATATTTAATTGGTCACACAAACCAACACTGGTACAGTGGGGGAGGGAGCTACCCAAGGCTCTGAATACTGGAAGGCAGTGCTCATTGATGGCCATTTTGAAGGATAGCTAATACATCACTGGTGACGGCACTTGGGATTCAATTACTAACTCTGAGGATTGGCAATTAAATTGAAAAGTTAACATTTATTCTGTTTTTCCTGTATGAACTACGTTTAAGGATAACCAAATAGCCCTGAACTGATAGGTTGATGAGAGAAAATCCTTCTCTACAAAGGAATTCCAGGTCATAAATGTGAAAAAATTATTGAATTAGAAAATCAGAATTTTGCAATCCCCAGTGAAACGGTTGATTCAGGTAAAGATCACAAGGGATGAAACCACCAGATGAAAGGTTGACGGGGAACTTTATATGGAGGAAGCCAACTATCAAGTGCTAAACTCATTGACCAATCTTAGCATCAAAAAGAGTGGAACAATCAGACCTTATATGCTTGCTGATATAAAGCAAAAAAGTACACCAGTTTGCACTCCCACCAGCAGTGTATGAGAGTTCCCTTCTCTCCACATCCTCTCCAACACATGTTGTTTCCTGTCTTGTTAATTATAGCCATTC